CCTCCCGCTGACATGTGGCCAAAGCCTCTTTCCCCTCGGTTCAGCTGGAACCAGATTGGAATTTTTCAACCAAACATTCCTAAGGAACGGAGGAGGGGGTGGGGGACAGACAACAAAAGCAGACGCACAAAAACAGGCCCAGAAATGGAGCGTGCCTGACCCGTGGTCCTAACTGCCATGGGGACAGGCCCTCGCGGCCAGCACAGCTGGGTGCCCTCAAGGCCCAGGAGGCGGGAGGGGCGCGGCCTGCTCAAGGACACCCAGCAGCAGAGTGGGTCAGTGAGAGAGCCCAGCTGCCCTCCAAGCCCCGGGCTGAGGCCCTCCCCGGCTCCCAGGCTGAAGAACCTCCAGCCCCATCTTAGACCCATTGTTCTGGCTGAAAATCTAGGCCAAGGCCACAGTGGAGGAGAAGGCATATTTCCGCCTCTGCTCCCTTGAACATCTCGAGATTGCAGTCCAGGCAGGTCACCAGGGAACCGGCTGGCCCCCCTCGGCCTGGTGCAGGGCCAGCGTGAGCGGGAGAGGTAGATGGGCGGGCAGCAGCGGGCGTTGTGGGGCGCAGGGCCCGGCGGGAGGACAGCAGCTGCCCTAATTACTCCGGCTCTCCAGGTTCCAATCTCGTTTGAAAAGGACTCCAGGGACGCAGCCTTTAATAACTACCAGTAAACAGGCAGGAAAATCGATACCTGGTAAATAGAGCCCTGGAGAGAGGGCTGACTGGGCGGGCTGGCTCTGACCCGGCCCAGAGGAGCTCCCAGAGTCCTTTGTTGTAGAGCTGGCCAACGCTGCCCTTAGGAACCTTGTCCCCGCCCCTACCCCCGGGGGCCCCGTGTGTGCTTTGGCTCCTGATCCGGCCTCCACTCCCTCTCCGTGAACACGGACTCCTCCTCCTTCCCACTCCATCGGAGCCCTGACCTGTGCCAAGTAGGTTGCCTGTTTCAGTTGCAGATGCCTCCCTTGTGCCAGGCTTTGTGCCTGGTACTGGTAACACCGATCTGGTCCTTATCCTCCTGACAGCCATCAACCAGTGAGGAAGATTAAGAACAAAAACAAATAACTGAATCACAGTACAAGGATAGACATGCAACAAAAAGCTGTGGATAGCAGTGAACAGAAAAGCACTTCCCGGAGTAGATGAGCTTGGGGAGGGTTTTGTTGGATGCATAGGAGTTTGCAAAGTGAACAAGGGCTGGGAGAGGCTGAATGTGGGTAATGTGTGTCATAACAACAGGCATCTTAGCTAACATTCATCTAGCACTTACTCTAGCCCAGCGCTCTGCTAAGCGCCCCTGACATACAGTATCTCACTTTGTCCCACAGTCGGTGTTACTACCCCCATTTTACAGATGAGAACACTGAGGCTATATGTGGATCCAGAATTTGCACAGGGCCTGTGAGACTTCTGAGTTGTTTTAACCACTTCGATCTGCAACTCCCACACCTGATCCTGCTCGGTTTATTTAACCACAGAGGTGGTTAAATAAAGTGAGTCTTTATTTAACCACAGAGGTGGTTAAATAAAGCGAGTTCCCATCCCTTCTCTTTCCTTCCCTTCCCATCCAGGGCTCACACCTTCCAGGTAACATAGCACCTTGACCCTCAGCAGGAGGCTAAGGGCGCTACTTCAGGCACATCAGACCTGAAGATCATCTCTCATGAGCCCCCATTTTGCAGACAGGGAAACTGAGGCCCTGGGAGGAGGAGACCAGCACTCAGGAGCAGAGGCAGGAACAGGAGCTGGGATTTCCTCTCTAAGTCATCCCCTCTCAGGCCTGCCCTGGAAGAACACTGTAGTCAAGGGAAAAAATCAATACGCACACACTCAATTAACATGATAAATCAGACATCAGCAGGAGGCTGCCTGGAGGCCCCGGGGAACTTTCCATATGATTGGCTGGAACATTACAGGGGCCCAGGGACCCATCCCCTCCTTGCTCCTCCCACATCAACAGCTGCAGCTCTGTGCCTCGATTTCCTCAGCTCTTGGGGTCAAGGCAGTTGACACAGGGTAGAGGAAGTCCACAGCCCTTGATTCTAAGTTCTAACAGAGAGAACCAGCTAGCAGGGCTCAGTGGTTGAGCACTGACCTATGAACCAGGAGGTCACGGTTCAATTCCTGGTCAGGGCACATGCCCGGATTGTGGGCTCGATCCCCAGTGGGGGGCGTGCAGGAGGCAGCTCATCAATGATTCGCTCTCATCATTGATGTTTCTGTCTCTCTCTCATCCTCTCCCTTCCTCTCTGAAATCAATAAGAATATATTTTAAAAATAAATTCGAACAGAGAGAGAGCAGGACCCAAGTGAGAACAGTCAGAGGAATCTGAGCCAGTGGAGTGGGGGGAGGGGAGATCATGATGGGTCCCCACCCACCTGGCTGCAGATTCCTGGGCCAGGCAGCCTGGGGGATGCCAATGACCAATGGAAACACGGCCATGAGGGCCTGCTGTGTGCCAGGCACCGTGCTAGACGCTTGGGGTACGGCCATGAGCAAAGCGGTCAGAACCTCTGTCCTTGTGGGCTGACGGCCCAGTGGGAGGTGACAGGGAGCGAAGAAAGTGTGCAGATGATACATCAGGCCGGGCAGTGCTGGGTGCCAGGAGGAACACTGAGCGAGAATGAGGATGGGAACGGGAGGGCAGCATTCCGGGGGGCTGGGAAGGTCTCCCCAAGGAGGTGACATCTGCACAGAGACCTAAAAGAAAGGAGGGAGGCAACTCTGGGAACGTCCAGGCGTGGCTAGGCCCTTCTCCAGGTGAGGGGACAGCAAACGCAGAGGCCCTGAGGCTGGCAGCGTTGGGGATGTCTGAGCAACAGCAAGCAGGTGAGGGTGGCTGGAGTGGAGTGCGAGGGGGCCTGTGCGGGCCACGTAGGGCCTCGCAGGTCATGGCCAGGACTGTTATGCCAAGTGAGCCTGGGGAGCCAGGGGAGGATTGGGGGCAGACGGAGGACGCGAGCTGACTTGCACTGAGCAGGACCCCTCTGGCTGCCATGCGGGGAACAGATGACAGTAGGCAAGGCCAGAAGCAGAGACCGGCCGTGAGTCTACTGCCATCGTCCAGGCGGGAGACATACAGCGGCTTGGACTGGGGAGAATCGGGGCAGTGGGGGAGGAAGGCTCCGGTGTGGGATGTATTTGAAGGCAGGGGTGACTGGGTTTACTGAGAGACGAGGCATGGGCTCTGAGGGAAGGAGTGAAGCCCGAGTTTCGGGGGTTGGTGGCGCGAGCAGCGGGAAGGACAGAGCTTCAGTAACTGCAACAAAGAGGCTTCAGGAGGTGCGGGTTTGGACGGGGACAGATCGGAGCTGTGCTTTAGCAGAACTAAGGTTGAAAAGGTGCCGGGGAGGTGCTGAGGGGGCAACTGGACACATGCGTCTGGCTCTCAGCCAAGAAGATGTGGCTGGAAATGACCAACTTTAGAATCATCCGAGACAAGACAGTATTGTCTTGATTGTTCCTTTTATCAGCCCCACAAGGAAGGTCTGCTTGCGCCCATTTTAGAGAGGAGAACAGGGAGGCTCAGAGACGCCGAGCCACCTGACCATAGTCACACAGCCGGAAAGTCAGGCAGTCAGGCCCTGAAATGAGGTCAGCCTGCCTCCCGGCCCCGGGGCCCTGCCCACACCCTGTGCTCTGTGGCTCTTCTCACCGAATCCTCCCAGCAGCCCGAGGTGAGAGGGGCAGGGTGAGTCACAAAGTAGCATCACCTTCATTTTCGAGATGGGGCCACTGAAACCTAGGGGGGCTTTAGGGACTTGCCCACAGCTGAGGAGCAGTCAGGTTTGCAATTTTCCGGCGGGCGTGCCCGATGAACCCAGCCACAGAGTCTTTCCACGCTGGCCCCAGGCCAGGGCCGGCCAAAGGCGCTGAGAAGTCCTGCAGCCTGGACATGGGGTTATCTCTGCTGAACCCCGTGTCCCATGGAGCCTTGCTCTCGGGGAGCACCTGGAGCTTTGGGAGCCCAGGAGCAGGGGTTGGGAGCGAAGCCTCTGTGACCTCGTTTTTGAAATGGGGCCATGGGTATCCACCTGGCTGGGTTACCATGTGTTTTTTACGTTCTTTTCGAATGAGCACTGAGCATGGAGTCCTCCAAAGAGCAGGTGTCAGCGAATGTTTGTTAAAGGAAGGAGCAAGCAAACAAACAGATGAAGGAAAAAAACACCTAAGTGGACAAAGGAATGGACCGGTGCAGGGATGAGCAGAAAGGCAGGAGGGAAGTGAGGAGAAGGGATCCGTGTCTGAGCTAATGAATTCACTCACGTTCAACAAGTACCTCTGAGCCCCGACTGTGTGTAGGTGCTGGGGATACAGCCACGAATAAAACAAAGTCCCTGCATTGTGGCGGTGACAGTCCAGCCAGAGGAGACAGAAAGCAAGATGAGTAGGTAAAATAGAAAGTAGACCAGATGGAGAAAACGGAGGAAGGAGAGAGGGGAGGGAAAATGTGGACAGGGGCGCACATTTAAAACAGGATGGTTGTGAAGGAAAGAATGACCACGCATGGATAACGGAGTCAGGGAAGGGGTGAGAGTCAATGCAGGTGTGAATGAAAGCATGGTGGCTGAGCGCGGGCATGGGTGAAGGGACCAATGGGAGGATTGTTGAATGACTGAACTGAGGAAGATATGACTGTGTGGACCAGGGCAGGAAGAAATGAATGCGCTAAGGAAAGAACGATGGGATGAATGAGTGAACTAATGAGGGTCTGCATGCCATCCACGTGTCTGCATGGATCTCTGCCCCCGCCCGGGTGCTGACTCTGCTTGACCTTGCCTGGGGAGCCCCCCCACCCCCACCCCAGGGCCGCGATGTAGTTCGGTGCCTGGCTGGCCCCTGGGAGGGGGAGGGAGCCTGCCTGCCCATCCTGCCCTGGCCACTGCCTTGCTGACCTGCATCGCGTGCTGTCCTGACACCACCTCTGTGGACCCTCCATCCCCGCCCTGCACTGCCCTCTCCCCCCCGCTCC